ACCAACTGTGGTGTCATGTTTTGACTGACCATAGTCCTCCTTCACCTACTAAGGATGGGTCTCTATTGACATTGAGACATTACCATTTGGTTGAACATGTGCAGTGTGTTTGCCACATAGGCTGCTGGTGCACACTGTCGATGTGATATTGATGTAGCCCAGTGCTGTACAGCAACATGTCCATCTCCTTGGCTGTTCATTGCACTGGACAGTCACAAGTTGCCAGTTTCTCCATCTGTGCTAAACAGCAATGCAAGAAACAGAGGCTAACAGCTTATATGCTTGGATTAAACAGCCTTTAAAAAGCAATGCAATCCAGAAAGCCTGACAGCCTCCAAGTTAGTGCAATGTGAGTGAGCATTCAGAAAGTCAAGCTATGAACTATAAAGGGCTTCCGATCTAGATGCATGTATGTGTCTATATGCAAAGCAAGCTGGCAGAAGTAAGCAAGGCAGAAGTGTCCTTTAGCTTAACATGATGATGTGGTGAGGCTGGTGGTTTACCGATGCTCATTTACGTGTGTGAAGAATTGAAGAAGACAGGATCATGCAGGGAAATGGTGGTAACTGCGGAGTTGGATGTACATCCAGGAAAGCAAGCAGACAGTTGTGATGTCGGATAACTGCTCTTAAGTGCATGTCAGGCATTGGTGCTGTCTAGTTTCTCAGGAACGGAGGACAGAATTGGGAGCTGCACAGAGATGAGGTGAGATTAGTTATTAATGAGATGTAAATACATGGAAATAAGATGGCTGTCACTCATTGGTGAGATTCAGAACTTGCTGTTTGGTCTCTAAGGGGAAAGTCAGGTTTCTTTTGTCTTGACGTCAGGAAATTTGCTTCTTTTCATCCTTACCATATATTCCTAACAATACCTCCATTGCCCATGCTGCTGAAGGAAAATTTAATTCCTGCTATTGTTCTGTCATGGGAATTGCAAGACTCTCACTTCAGTGATACCAGAACTGAAAGGTTCTAATTATTGGTGAAGGTTGAAGGACCTTCTTTAATAGAATACAGAAAGTTGAAGGGTGATCTAATAGAGATCTCCAAAATTATGAGGCGATTTGACAGGGTAGATGCCAGGGGGAAGATAACCACTCTTGAGGAGCACATATATAGGACAGTCACAAATAAATCCAATCGGTAATTCAAGGAGAAAAAATAACTCCTTGAATTTAACAAGGGAGTATTCAGAATGTGGAAATCATTACCACGAAATATTTGAAGTAAATAGTAGGTATGAATTTAAGGAACGGCTAAACAAGTACATAAAGGGGCAAAGTGTATGCAAATAGGCTAAAGGAAGGTGAACGGAGGACCAAGTAGAGTGAAATGGATCAGTTGGGCTGAATGTTTGCTTAATCATTTCAGTATCTATTTGATCTTTCAATGTGTAACAACTTATATCTATATAGCATTTTGAGTGTGATAACATGACCCAAGATTCTTTACAAGACTGCTAGTAAAGCAAAATTACACACTTGGCCAACCACATAAGGTGTTATTCGGGTGGCCAAAACAGTGGTGAAAGAGGCAAGTTTTAGGGAAAGAAGAGAGATTGAGAGGTAGAATTTTTGGGGGGTGTGTGTGTGATGAGATGAATTCTAGACTCAATCTAAAATATATAATAAGTTTTGATTACTGTTCACCAGCTTAGGTCCATTTTGCAGCAGTCAGATGGAGCTAAGTTCTATGCTAGGGGCACCTGAGGTAAAAGAAAATTTGAAATGTGGTTCTTTCAGTACTTGAGAAAAAATGAATAAAAAGCTAAATTTTTAAAGCTGTTTCTTTATTTTGCTTCCATTTATATTTAAGTCTTACAGTAAAATCTTAATACTGGTTGGAAAGATCTGGAATTTATGATGGGTAACCCAAACTACTTTCAACCAATATCTCAATGGTACAAAGACAGATTGTCAGATTATTAACTAAAACATTTTATCAGGATCACTCATGGCCATGTTAAGTTTAATTTGATAGGATACTGGGTGAGCTTATGGAAGTTTATTTTAATTATTGCGCCCAAAGCAGTCTAAAGCACTATGATCAATGAATACTGGACGTACTACTTGAGTTAGAGATAGTAGGAACTGCAGATGCTGGAGAATCCGAGACAACAAGGTGCAGGGCTGGATGAACACAGCAGGCCAAGCAGCATCATAGGAGCAGAAAGGCTGACGTTTCAGGGTCTAGGCCCGAAACGTCAGCCTTTCTGCTCCTGTGATGCTGCTTGGCCTGCTGTGTTCATCCAGCTCTGCACCTTGTTGTCTCGGATTCTCCGGCATCTGCAGTACCTACTATCTCCTCCTCATTTTTGTTTGCTGCTTTGTAACCGTTACACTAGCCATTGGGAGACCTGGATTACAAAGTTCAACAGCACCATGTGATGGCCAAGAAGCAGAATTGCATCGAAAATGTCAGGAGACTGTCCTCATGCTGTCTTTCCTTTTCAAACCACCAGGTTGCACACTTGTACAATTGGAAAAGGAAGCTGAACTTCATCAAGTAACTCTCAATGCTCTTTGGCATTCATTTCGTGCATATTCATCGTTCAGACAGTTTTTCCGAATTACTAGTGGATCTCCCATGATGTACAGTAAATCCAAAAAAAGGTCTTTCTTGCGGCTGTGTTGTAATTTCCCTTTGAATGATTTCATAAAATAAACACAGATGATTGAAGAAAAATTAAATTTAAAAAAAGTCCTTCATTGATCGATGTTAATGTAGATGTCTGCCAAGGCAACTGAAGTTGGGAGCAGTCCCATTAACCATACAATCATGTTTATTTTTCCATTAAATGCCTATTCCCCCAACCCTTCATTGCATTTACTTTCTCTGTCTTCTGCCTGTTCCATAATACTTCATAACTGAGGAATTAATCACATCATGTCTCTCCCTGATCCTCTTCTCTAGCTCTTATTGCTTCACTCATGGTGCTTTTCTGTTTTATTTTGGGAGGGGGCCAACTGGTGGAAGTTCTGGTGGTGATGGGAGCCATCCGCAGCTGCGTGTTCTTTCTGATGGGGAATGCAGGGAAAGAATGTTTTTTTGTTTTCTTGTTCCTATCCACAGTCATTTGGTTAAACTAGATTTCAGCAGACAAGACATAAAATACTGAAACATATAAGACCTTGAGGGTCATGACAGCTGAGTTCTCAAAAGGATATTTCCTCTGAGGGAGAATGTAGAACTGGGTGGTCACTATTTAAAAATAAGGGTTTGCCGTTCTTCATACATAAATGAGGTGACTTTTTTTTTGTCTTTGAGGCTTTAAAGTCTTTGGAACTCTCTTCCTGAAGTAAAGTCCTAAAATATTTTGAAAGCAGAAGTGGATAGATTCTTGTTAAGCAGAGGGATTGACAGGTTATCAGGGGTGGGCAGGAATGCAGATTTGAGTTTATAATCAAAATTAGCCAAGACTTCGTTGAATAGCAGAACAGGCTCAATGGACTGAAAGGCCTCATCCTGCTCTTTGTTCATGTGTTGGTAACAAGTGTACAAAAGGAAGCAGAGTTTGAAGGGCAGGAGCTGGTCAATCTTGCCTTGAAGTGTTCCTGATTCAAACCTAGGCTTCAATCTTTGTTCTAGCCAATCAGTTATCATCAACCTCTGTCCCAAGTCAGTGGCATTCTTTGCAGTGGCCGTCGCGCACAGTTCAGCAGCTAAGTAAATGGCTTCAGTCCTTATTATTGATAGCAGCCCTGTCTCCCAATTACACCACAGATGCATCACAGCTCATAGCTGAAAGTGGCGATGGGCCAGATTTTAACTGCCAGTTTGTCATGATCTGTATCAAATTTGTCAGTGGCAAAGTCACCAATCCAAGCACTATATTTAAAAAAAAGCATTGTCAAAACCTGAATGCAAACAGCACGAGTCCCACAGCATGGGTGAAACAGCTGGGTTTGCTGAATCTATTTAGGCCATGGTTCTGCACTATAATTGCAGCATTGTATCTGTGCTTCAAATTAAAGCCCTGATGATTTTTAAAAAAATAAACAGGTCTTTAGAAACCTTGTTGGTTTTGCAGTATGTTTAAAAAAGGCCAATTCCTGTAACTGGAATAGTACGGGTGGGTATATCCTGAGTGAAAGTTCCTGAGGGTGACCACATTCAGCAGCAGTAACTATATTTAAAAGTTGACTTTCAAAGATCAGCAGTGCTATTTCCTGGTAGGCAAAAAAAAACCTTGAAATTTCTCGCATTATTGCTACCTCATTCTGTGCTTTTCTGTGTCAATAATTTCTTCATCATTGAGTACAAAGTATTCCTGAAGTGATTGTCACATTAGAGGTGTCTAACATTTTTAATTTCCTTGTGCTTACATTGCTCTGTTCAGCAGTTCTGTGATGCAACTAAAATGCAGAAATGCAACAGACTCAAAATGACCGAACCAATATTTTCAAATCTCCAGAGCAATCATTGCATTGTGAGTGGTGTTATATCCAGTACGGGAATTATTGTGATGTGTAACTCAACTATTTCTAATTTCTAAATTAGTTTAGTTATGCAATAACAAAAATGTGAAAGACAGGTTGGCCAACATACATTATTTCTAAAAAGTAAGACTCGCATTTATAAGGTTTCTATCTGAGCACTTTACAGCCAGTGAAGGACTTAGGAAGTCTAGTCACTAGTGTATTGTAAACAACAGCTAACGTGCCATAGAACAATATTTATTCACATTAAAACTTGCAATGTGGAAGAAGACTACCAAATGACCCACTGCTGTTCCTATGAATCAATAAAGATTGAGTGTGATTGTACATAGAAGAGAGGTGTATCACAAATGTAGTTCCTAAAAATGTTACAAATTGCATTTCATGAAGCACTTTTCATGACGTGAGCACACCTTTAACCGCCAATATTGGTCAGGATGGCTTGGAGATTGGGTAAGGGGACACATTGAATAGAACTGTTCAACAGATAACTTGTCTCTCTGAGTGTGTTGCTGAAGTTGAAATAATTTCATTTTTGTGTTTTGTTTTCTCTTAACAGGCAGATAGCCCTGAAGAAATGGAAAGCTGGATGAAAGCCATCAATCAGGCAATCAAGGCGCTCAAGTGTTCGAGCAATCCCACAGTACGTCCCCCTCCTACGTGTCAAATACTTGATTTGTTCGACTCCACTGCTTATTAAAGATAAAATTTTGAATTAAAAATACAGTAAGGCTGTATTAAAATACCAACAGTTATCTTATTGCTGGTTGGCATGGTTGCAAGGATACTGTCTGCTAAAGAGCACTCAAAGTAGCATTTTTCAGGAAAATTAGCCATGCTGCTTTCAAAAGAGGTAATGAAATTGTGATAATAGATTTTGGGTTGTAAACAAAGAAGTCTGAAATGATATTAACTAGTTGATCTCTTATTTTTTCTATAATTCTGATCTGATCATTTATCACCCCTTTCTTCTTTCCAGAGCCACCAGCCGGTGGCTCAGTAGGAGTTGCAGAACTGGCCATTGTGTGCCCCTCATGCCCCTGTTACCTTGATGTACTCGTGTGTGAGTAAGCAATCTATACAATTAGGTTGTGTTTGGGCTGGGGCTGGGGGAGAGGTGTTTTTGAAGCTGACTTCAAAAAAGTTAGCTGATCTTCACACCAGCAGAAGTTTGTGAATGGCAATCAGAAGCAAACACAATACCTGCATTCATTTGGCACCTCTGAAGCCAACATGCATCCCAAAGTACCTTCTCAAAGCTGAGCCACTTGCCACTTTTCAGCCCAAGCCTGGTATTGTCTAGTCTTGCTGCATTTGGACATGGGTATTAGGTAAGGTGACTGAAAGTTTTGTCAAATAAGTCAGTTTGAAGGACAGTCACAGGCAGAGAGAGGGATTGCCGGATTAAACAAGAGAACTAAAGGACTTAGCTTGCTGAAAGTATCAATGACGGTGCAAAGGGAGAGACGAATGCAATTGAAGCTTGAATTTTTATTTATTTATTTAGGAATGTAGGCATCGTTGGCCATGCCAGCATTTATTTCCCATGCTTCGTTGCCTTTGAGAAGGTGGTGGTGTGTTTCTTCTTGAACCACTACAGTTCATTTAAAGTAGATCAGCAACAATGCCATTAGTGAAGGAGTTCCAGGATTTTGACCCAGCAACACTGAAGAAATGATGATGTATCTCAAATTCAGAATCTTGAATGGATTGCAGGGAAGCTTTGGCGATGTTCCAAGCCTCTGCTGCCCTTCAACTTCTAGGTTGGAAGGTGCTATCTAATGAGCCTTGGCACATCTCTCTTTTATAATGCATACAATCCATATAATGGACAGTAACAATGTTGGAACTGTGTTTTGATAGAGGGAGTTAATGGTTGTGGATGTGGTGCCACTTAAGCATGCTGCTTTAACCTGGAAGGTACCGAGCTTCTTGAGTGTTGTTGGAGCTACACTCATCCAAGCAATTGGGGATTATTTCATCACACCCTTGACTTGTATCTTGAAAATGGTGGACAGGCTTTGGGGAGACAGGAGGTCAGTTACCCGCTGCAAGATTCCTATCCTCTGACCTGCTTTTGTAGCTTCAGTATTGATATGACCACTTGTGTAGCACAAATGTTATTTGCTTGTTTTCTGCCCAAACCTGGTTATTGGCTTGGTCTTGTTGCGTTTGGACATTGACTGCATCAGTATGTGAGGAGTTGCAAATGGATCTGAACATTGGGCAATCATTTGCGAACGTCCCCACTTCTGACCTTATGAAGGAAGAAGGTTCATTGATTGCCAACTATCTTCAGCAGAACAGGGAATTTGGAATTGTTTTAAGGGCTGGAAAAAGTTACAAAGATGGGGAAGCTTGAACTCTGTATAAGTGCTCCTGTTCTGCTATGCACAATTCTGGGTTGCTTCAGCGTGTTGTGGCTCATTTGAATAATGTCCTGATGCAGCTCCGTTTATGGATGTTGGGGTGGTTGCTGGTGTCATTAAGTATCTGGTGGTATGTGTGGTATACGCTAGTCTGGAGTTCCCTGTTGTTCTTACGTTCTACTATTATGTCTAGGAAGGGTAGATTTAGGATTTGGAATGTGCTGCCTGGGAGAGTGGTGGAGGCGGATTCCATAGGAAGTTTCAAAGAAGAGGCTGGATATATATTTGAAAGTGATTAATTTAGAAAGCTACAGAGAAAGGGCTGGAGAATGGATCTAGCTGGGTACCTCTTTTGGGAACCGGTACAGACATGATGGGCTGAATGGCATCCTTCAGTTCTGTACAATTCTATATTCTAACTCTGTTTCTAACAGCACTGTGAATGTTCCTGCATCACACAGATTATAACAATTTTAGAAAACAACTCATCACTACCTTCTCAAGGGCAATTAGGGATATGGGGGACAAATGTTGGCCCAATTAACAATTGCCATCTGCCATGAAGGAATAAATGAAGAAAATTCCATGACTCCCTATTAGCTGCTGTTTGTTAACGTTCTCTCAGATGGATTTGAAGCAGTGTCCATTCAGAAATTCTGGACCCTTGCATTGCAAGCGTCCAACCATGGAGATAAACTAGAGGGCAAACCATCTTGAGTTACTGCTATTTCTAAGGCCAGCTCAGGTGCAACAGCATGGATCTTCAAACAATCAGTTTGAAGAATCATTACTGAGACATGCAGGGCCTAATAAATCAAATCAGTTAAATTATTAAATTAATTGTCAAATCATGTGAAACAAAAGTTAAATAATGAGAGAGAAAGAAAGATGGTATTTCTGAATTCTCTAAACTAAAATCTCTCAATTTTAAAAGAATGAGATCCTACTTCAATAAACTTAAATTTTCAATGCCGGAGATGCTGCTCCCTCATAATTAAGACTTATTGTACCATTTAAAATTCATTTCAGCCTTAATGCACACATGGTAACTTATTCTTTAGTGTTTCTCAGTCTCACAGCTTCATGCTCTGAGGTGATTTCTAATTCTGGTTCTATTGGTGAGATACCGGTTTTAGGTAGCCTGTGGAGGATCAGGGCAAATCACACAGCAACATCAGAAGTTCTGTATTTTGGCTATATGTGTGCAGACTCTGGAACTGATTGCATAATAACAGTAAGCACTGTTCATCCATTCTTTATTCTCAGCACAAAATCTGGCCATTCAAATGAACGAGCAGAAAGAAATTATCACTGCAGTCCAAAATGCCTATGCTCCATATGTAAGAATGCCATACAAATGATAAATCCAGTTGCCATTTTCTGCTTTTATTTGTGCCATCTGCTAACAGCACATAAACATTTGGTCTGGTTGTTGGTTTTGACAATCTCCGGATGGAGTATTCCATTTCAGATCAAATCGGAAGAGAAAAAGAAACAACTGTGATTGTTGACCAGTCAGTTACCCACTGACTGAAGTGCCAGGGGAATGAGTCAGAATGCAGATGGTTGTTCATTATTTAAAGCTGTGGCCTTGCAGCTTGGTGGAATATGATTAACTTCCTCCTGTCTAGAAAATTCAGCAAACAAGGTCACACAGCAATTACTTTCTAACAGTTGATGTGAAGTGACAACTATGATCAGTTTGGCAAGAAATGCACAGTTTTTGAAGCTGTGTGTCAAGCATTTTCTCAGAAGTAGGTTTTGGAGCAAGAGTCCATTATTTTCAAATGACATGTGGATAATTTCATGGAAATTTACCAAACACTATGAAAGCATTGACACATCTCTGTGTGACCATTTTGCTTTGGGTGCATTTGGTTAAATGGAACAATTAATGTTCTTCTAGGTGGGTTGGGCAGCATGTGAATTGTCATGGGCAAAGGAACAGAATTTTTTGGGCAGGCTGCAAGTATCCGAGAAAAGAGCAAAAAAAAGCTGCAAAAGCCTAGTATCTGTGGAGGGAAATAGTTATTGTTTCAGGGTCAATGAACTTTCATCAAAATGTGTTCTGATGAGAGATCCTGAAACTACCTGGAACATTATCTCTGTTTCTCTCTCAACAGATGCTGCCTGACGTTCTGAGCTTTTCCAGCTTTCTTTTCTCATCTATCAGAGTTCCAGTATCTGCATCATTTTGCTTTTGCAAGGATTAGAGGATCATATCCTGGTCATTATTTTTGAGAGGCTGACAGATTGCATGGTGTTTGGAAAAGAAATTAGATTGATGTAATGTTCCTCTTCCTCATGAGTTTAATATCATTCACAGGCTCCGGTTCAATCCGCTTTCATCAGCGGAACCTCTTCATCGCATCCACTTGATTCCCTGACTGCATCGAATCCATCCTCTTCAGTGTCGTTATGGCCTCAGTTCAGTTCCAAGCCCCAAGGAGAAGAAAAACGACCTGTCTCCAAGTCTACCTCCGTGGTATCGTCATGGCAGCCATGGACCCCTGTGCCAGGTGCTGGTGAGCCACCTATGTCTCCAGTAGAGGAGGTGGGCAGGAATGAGAGTGCCCTGAAAGCACCATCTGAAGTATGCAAACCACAGCTGCCAATGAAGGAAGATGTGAATGGTCAGGGGAAGCGCCGCAGACACAGGTCACAACCAGCACCCAAAAAGGAGCATCAATTTCAGTACAACCTTGATGATGATGGCATCCGAACAACAGATGTTTAATGACAGTAAACTTGTCTTTTCCCATTGTTTGTTTTATCTAGGATTAGTGACTCAAATAGTTTTCGTTTCGGATAAAAGTGCCTGCTTGTAAACAGCTTAGCTTGCCAGTGTCCTTGCTGAAGCTTCATTACTGAGTTAAGTCAGGAAACAATGTTGGAGACTGAAGGCTCAAGAAGGGCAGCAATGTCATATTTTTGTTTGGCTGCTCTTTACATTTTCCATTCTTACTTGATCCAACAGGATAACAGCATGGCTGAGCTCTGGTAACTGAAACGCAAACCACCAAAGGGCCCAGTACAACCTAGCACAGCCAATGGGTCTCTGTGATACACTGATGATGAGGAATGTATTAAAATTAGTGCAATTTTTACATTCCTGAGGTGTAGCTGAGCCCTTTATGCACATTTGTCACTGAAACACTGGAAAACACAGAAGCACAGACATATGCTGCGACTTTCCAGCCATTGAGGAAAACGGAATTTGGATTCTGCATTCCTTAATTGTGTCAATTAACTGTGTTATTTGCAGTTCTAAAATCTCTGTTGCTGCCTTTCTGCAAATGGACATGGGTCAACTTCTCAAGGAAGAAGTGCATCAAGAAAAGAGCTGTTCCAGTCCCAAAATCATCATGTCCTATACCTGCTATTTCCTTCCTCAGGCAAGGCACTGGACCAGCATTTGTTTTGGCCTAGTGTTCCCTGCACTGTTCCTCCAGAAGCATTTCTAATTTACTGATCAGTGGGCCTTGTCCTCCCACTTTTCTACAGAGTCCATCACTGACATTGCAAATGAAAACAGCTCCAAAGTGTCTCAACAAACTGTGTGACTCAGTTCAGTAATCTCTCCAGGTTAGAGAGCCCAGCCAGTGAAAAATTGCAGTAACGCACAATCAGCTGGAAGGCTAATACTTAATTCCATTCTGAACTAATTTGTGCTCTTTGGGGCAAGTTTGTTTGCATAAGAAAGATCAAGTCGGGAACTAAAAGAGCCAGAATTATCTCTTTGTTGTTTACTGCCTTTGAGGAGGATAGCATGGATGTCAAGAGAAGTTGAGGCAGTGAGAATTATAAAACAAAGTTTGACAGTAGATTATATTCAGGATGAGGAAACGGTTTGTCCAGATTCAAATTGCTGACCTTGCTGGGATACACTCAAGTGAGGAATGTCAAGTATGGTTTGGACCTTGTCATGGCCCAGAGAATAACTATCCTGCCAATGATTTCTGCTGAGGTTTGCACATCAACAGTCCTCGGCAGGATGAGGCACTGTTAAATTCCTAACTTTGTACCTCAGCAAAGGGTTTCCAGGAAAAGAGGGCAGAGAATCAGATTTGAGAAAGGAAATAAAAGTAAACATTGTGTAGATTAATGACTGACTTTACTAGAGATGACAGAATGCTGGTTTCATGCTGATCTTTCAACTTGGTGGGCTTTATTGAATAAAGAACTTTACAGTACAGAAGGAGACCATTTGATTGTGTCTGTACTGACTTCTGAAAGCTAGTCCCATTCTCCAGCCCTATCTCCGTGGCCTTCTAAATTCATCACTTTGAAATATATCCAGCTCTGTTTTGAAACCTCCTATGGATCCACTTTCGCCATTTTCCCAGGAGCACATTCCAAATCCTAACAACTCTTTGACTAAAGCAGCTTCTCCTCATCTCACTCCTCGCTGTCTTGCTGACAGTCTTGAAATTATAACATCTAGTTACTGACATACCAACTTGTGGAAACAGAATATCTTTCTTTACCCGGTCAAAATTGTTTATAATTTTGAACATCTCAATAAGGTCTCCTCTTAATATTCTGTGCTGCAAAGAGAATAAGCTCATTTTCTCGAACCTTACCTTGTATCAAATATCCCTGATTCCTGGTATCATTCTAGTAAACCTCTTTTACACTCCCACTAGCGCTTTAACATCCTTCCTTAAATAAGGTGCCCAGAACTAAACATAATGCTTCAAATGTGGTCTGACCAATGATTTGGAGGGGTGTAGCATCACTTCCTTGATTTTATACTTGATGACTCTATTTATAAACCCAAGGATCCTATCAGCTATCTGAACAACTGTTTCAACTTGCCTGGCTACCTTCAGAGAATCATGCAAATTATTTCTGCTTCCAGTTTCCCAATTTTGTTCACTACTCTTCATGCATTTACATAAAGAGAATTTAACTGTGCCTTTATCTCCTTCTTGCCCATTGGAACACAACCATTTCATTGTTCACTATTTTTTAATTCAAAAATATACTTTCTATTCATAAAAATCTTTATATACATACATAGTCACTAGAGTAGTTTGATTCTATACACAATCTTTACAGATACAGAAAAAACAAACCCAAGGCGTTTCTTACTTATAGTAAACTATTTGCACATGTTTCAGGCATGAGGAGGGCCGGTTAACTGAACAGTCCCCCATTTAACTTCAGCAGAAAGACCTTAGATGGTGATCGTTCCCTCTGTGTCTTGCTGACAGCTGCCCCAAGCTTTAGTGTATCCCTTAGCACCATCTGCAACAGTCGGTTGAGATCAACTCCTTCCTCTGGAAGACCAGCAAGTTTTGGGAAGACCAAAGAGCGCCCTTCACTGAATTGATGGTCCTCCAGGCACAGTTGATGTTTTTCTCAGTATACATCCCGAGGAACAGACTATAGAGCAGACTCCTGCATTTTGGAGCTGCTCGGGACGAACATCGACAAAAGTCACTGAAAACCACCAAATGAAATGCACAAACTCAGCACAGACAGTTGTTCAAGGTATAATTGAACCCAGGTCCCTGGTGCTGTGGGGCAGCAGTGCTAACCACTGAGCCACCATGCCACTGTATAATCATTTACCAATTTAAATTCTAAATCAAAACATTAACAGAAGTTTTATTTTTCTTTATTAAGAATTATGCAAGCTCTATGTGTCAATGTAGTCAATGTAATTGCCCTCCAATGCAAACTCACAAATGTCTGAAAATACCATTCACCAAACGTTCGTTACTTCTGATTACACTATGGGGTACACAGGCTCAGCATCAAGGTTTTTTTTAACCTTAAGGTGAATGCTAGGATTTGGCACTAAAAAGTGTGGAAGTAAATACACAAAATAGAGTGGAGTGAAAAGAGATATGTGTCTTTTTTGGTGATGATGGCTTGAGAGTTGGATATGATGTTTGTTCAAAGAGCTGACATGTAGAGGAGTACACACATGGATATACAGTCATCTGTATATTGATTTTCCATCGCCACAGCAATAATGTACTGGATTTCCAAATACACTGCCCAGGCATTGTCCAAAGGCGGTGGTGGGGTGGAATGTAGGAGTTCAGCTTAGTTCTTACACTTGACCAGTGCCCAGTCCCCCAACCTGCACATAGACATTAGGTGAATTATATTACAGTACTACCCAGGATAAACAGTTGTGACTTTTGCTGCAAGTTTACTCTGACTCCCACTTGACTCAGGTGGCACCATTGCATCAATTGACAACTTCAGACAAGTGAGCGAGAATGGCTAAAGAAAATGGGAATGACTTTGTATTTCTGTGAACCGTAGAACCTTGAAGTATAGAAGGAAGTTATTTTGGCAAGTCTGTCTGTCCACTTTTGTCGTAACCTCATTTTGTTGTCCTCATAGCTCAACATAATAATCCTGTTCAAGCATGTTTCCAATTGCCTTTTGGAAGCTCCTGCTGAATCTGTTTCCAGCTCCCCTTCAGAGGGTGTGTTTAAGTTCTGAACTGTCCTCAGTGTGAAGAAATTTGTCCTCTTTTTCCCAAAGCATCTTGTGTTTCTCTGCGAATTCACTCTTGACAAATTCCTGTGGGGAAGTCATAATTTCTGTGTCTTTTCTACATGGAATCTTTAACCTATATTTTGGTGTATGTTTACTGGGGCTTTCTGTTGCTGTGGGCAGAGAGCTGATGATAAACCATAAACCTTTGTGAACATCTGCATTTTGAATGTGGAACATCTGGTACCTACAGCTCCTGAGCTTTTCTGTTTCCATCACATTGTCTGAATAAACTTTTCCAGGAAAGGAGCATGAGTAGGGGGAGGTGTGCTCAAAACCAAGCAGTCACAATCTACAACTTCTCAACATGCTGATTTCAGTCAAAATTAAATGCCTCAGTGTGTGACAATGTAATTTAAGACTGGGGATAGTAAAGGTTGCATCATCATGATTCCCCAGTGATTGGCCAGTTATGACATGTAGAGTTCACTTAACTCAATTCACCGTTCAATTCGATATTTGCAGTTCAAGTCTGTTTATGAAGCATTTCAATTCTGCAGTAAGCTTCAGAATGTACTCCTGCAAAACGCATTGCTGATCAACGAGGGTGGGAGCTCTGTATTTGCCATCCCTTTGTTATGGGAGTGGCCACAGTCCTAATTAACGGAGTCTCTGCAGTTGTACTGATGAAATGGTTATTGTAGAACATTGTGATCCTGTTTTTCTCTTTAGATTTGAGAAATTGGGGATCGTTTTGACTGGGCAATGATGTAAAACAGAGTTGGCAAATTGGCAGCCTGCACTACGTCTCGATCCCTCATTAAAGTCTTTGAAATGAAAATAGGGGCAATGGGACAATGAGCAATCAACTCACCAAGACCAATTTAATATGACAGACGAAGTAAAAACCACCTATCTTCCTTTAAAAAGGGACAAAGAAAACTGAATCTGCCATCTCTGATTTATCTAAGATTAAATATTCAAAAACAAAATAAGATTTATTTTTCTGTGTTGTAACACCCAAACACTAAAATAGAGATGCACCTACATGCCCAGCTGAGATCTTAACATTTACATGCTTTCTGTCTGTAGAACTGATAGATTTGATTTGAATGTTCGGACTCGAAATGGCAACCTCAGGAATGTAAAGCAGGTTATAAAGGGCAGTGGTGCTCCCTATCTATCCTGACCAAAATCTCAGCTATGGAAAAAGGAATGAAGTCTGAACAGGCAAATGCTGGAATTTGTGCAGCGTGAGAGAATGTGCAGACTGTTGACACTTTTGTCTTTCATGTCTAGGCTGCTGAATGTTTCTTTCATTTCTCACTTGACCAGGTGTTGGTTGGTGTCAGTGATTCCAAGCCAGATTATCGATTTATAGATAAATCTACATGAGCTGAAAGACTTGTGGTTATTAATTCTCTCTTCATTCTTCGGGAATGACCCAAGGTGATGCTGCTTGGCCTGCTGTGTTCATCCAGCCCTGCACCTTGTTGTCTCGGATTCTCCAGCATCTGCAGTTCCTACTATCTCTAACTGCAGGAAAGTAGCTGGTTTGGGTGTGCCTGCCTTCTGAAATGGGCAGGTCAAGGTAACAGTTCGCTACTTTTATCAAAGTTTTATAATGAATGGAAAGGAAAATATGGTTCCAAAATTGAAACTGTGTGTCTTAAATTACCACTGTGCTTCATAGCTATCCTGAAGTAATGGTTCCTAAAATAAATACTTGAGATAATTTGTTCACTTTTGAAGTTGCAAGTTGGCCACATAAAGTGTGAAGATATATGAACATCAAATTCAGAGCAAGCTGACTTTCATTATTGTGTTTTTAGCAAGTCATGCATATTTCATCTCTGTTGTGCTCAACAGATAAAAGACCAGGCAAAACAATACCAGTTTTTACTTTATAACTTAACAAAGCTGAGAAGCCTTTCAGCTTTTAGATTTTACAAGTTATTTTATTCATACATGAGACCTGATTCAGAAATGCCGGTGGTTTCTTGTTTCCACTTGGTCAGGAATAAATGGTTCAAGGGTCTCAGCAACATTAATTGGATGTGTAAACGCATTGACTGGCTGGTCCGCTATTGAAGGGACTTCAGTGTTTGTTCAGCAACTCTGACATTTCTGCCGTAACTCATCTGTAACAGCTCAGGCTCTGACTATGATTAAGTTGTCTTCTGAGAATGCCACAAGTACAACAAAACAAGTACGTGTCTCCAGAAGATCATGATGGCACCCACATTGCATTTGTGCATGATTCAGTTCACAAAATAAGAATTAGTTGCTCAGGCGCAATGAAAGGTGTAATATATCAATCGGACTCCAACTCATTGAAATTGATCGCTTCCTGAACCCAATCGCATATGCAAGAACTATGCAAAGCAAATGTGTGGACTTGAAAGGACAGTATGGCCTCGATGCTGGGTCGATAACTCTGATAATTTAGGAAAAGTGAGTAATGCACATGGACTTTTAGAAGCAATGAATAAAGCTTATGAGAGTGGTATTTCTAAAAGAATATACACCTTGGTTAAAATTATGGAATATTTTCAATTCTGTCCCTCAAAAACATTACAAAGCTTACCATTTTGGACTCAAGCCACCACGTAGGTGGTCGTGCATGTGGTCTGGTGGGCAATTATTGTTACTGTAAAAAATCTTCAATTTATATTTTGCCAAACAACAAAAAAGGCTTTTTGCAAAGTTAAGGGTGCCTTAATTAGGCCAAAAATTAAA